CTGAACGAAAAAAGGCGCCCCCAAAACGCCGGAGACATCGAAAGAAAAGGGGAGGCATCCTCCCCAAAGTAGACTTCCAGCCTTCCAGCATTTTTGCTCTCATAGTCATCGGAGAAAACAAACGTGTTGCTATCTGTAGTTCTCATGTTTGGGGCATGGGTGAATCGCCATTCTCGGATCCTTGGGTAATCTTCAATGATGACGTGGACATTATTGAGTCATAATCAAAATGGTCGATCCCCAGAACTCTGAGAATTGAGAGGCGGCCGCAACCATCTATGGCTGGGAGTGTCTCACCACCTAAGAAACCCTGGAGTGATGATTCCCCTGCAAATATCAACAAATGTTCCAACCATAATTTCAACGTGGGGCTCACTGGGTTTCTCCGTAAGTTGCCATTGGCTGGTGCCACTTTTGGAGGTGGCACTCGTGCCACGAGTTGGACGGGCCCTGCGTCGAAAAGGCTCAGGCCCTTCGTCACCCCCTGGCTCAAATCTTCATTTCGCGGTTGAAGCCGCAGGAATTTAAGCCAACATGCTGGAGATTTGCCGGTCAAGCTCCGAACCTTCGGGTGCTTCCAGGGTTCAGCGCATCTTATGGCAACCGACGGTATGGATGCCGCTCTCTGGGAATTGGCCGTAGACGACCCTGGCCAATGCAATTGGTGACATTGGATTCCCACTGCCTGTTCGCCAGGTGTTGACGACTCTGTTCTGCAGGTTTTCAGGCCCTTTTTGTGCGGAGCTGCGGGCCACAAGGTTGAACAGAGGCATCCTCGGACAATTGGAACGACCTCAGAGGCACAAGGCAGTACCAGAAAGCACGTGGCCTGACAGTTGCCAGTGGGCGTTTGTGAAGAACATCGCGCAGCCCCCGCCCCCCCTCATTTCTTTTGCTTCAGCATGAAGACGTTCTTTCCGCATCACCGCACATTGCCTGAATCCATTCAGGCTTTAGCATCACCAAAACCAAACGCACCCTTCAAGCATTCCCTCGCGGCTGAGGCTTGAGCCCAGGCCCGGCCCGGACTTGGCCGGTCAGGGGTCCCACTTGGTTGGCACTGAAGGGGGACGGCGAAAGAAGAACCAACAAAGTTTGCTGGGTGGCGCAAACGGGGAACAGGCGACAGTAGCATTCAAAGCCGGCCAAATTTCCGCTGTTTGTGTCGGCATGTGCCGGGCCGTTTGTAAGGGAATCCGGGAAGCTGTTTGATTGGAGCGTTGCCGCCCTTCCCAAGGGTCAAGGGTCAGCTTGATGTCCCGCAAAGCTCCCTTCAGGTTGAACCTCTAGGCCCTGGGGAGTAGAGGCTCGGGTGCTTTCTGGCGGGACCACTTGATTTTTATCTCCGAAGCCATGGGGTCGCCCAAAGGAGACCTGCTTCATACAAACAGCTCGGGTTTGCTTGCGCGGACAAATGGGTTGAAGGAGGGAGTTGTGTCGGGGTCCCGACTCATTCCATTCGTTTCCGCCCAGCTCTCTAAGGCACGGGTTTGGAACCTCGACACCGGCCAACCATAGGCTTCCACACACCCCATGTGAAGATTGTTTTGAGTTTTGATGGCATCAAACAAAGTTTGTTTATTTTAGTTTTCTAATTTAAATATTCTATATAATTATGTTATAATAATAACATTTGGCCCGATTTGGCCATGCAATTCATGTTGCTGAATTCTGTCAGGGACATCTCCAGGAGTGTTCGGAAATTCGCCACCAGAACCAATGGCTTTTGGCTAGGCTGTTCAAGGGCAATCTTCAATCCTTACGTATATACCCATTTATTATGTGTGCATTTACGTACACACACAAATGTATACAAACCCTGGCGAGATGGAGGTGCCTTTTCTTGAGGACCCGGCTTTTTGGTTGGATTTTAAGGGAATTCCAGAAAGACGCACCCACATGCTGTGCCTTTAAGCACAGAGGACGCCATGCTGCGTTATCGTTTTCTTCATTTTGCAAACCGCAAAAAAAAGGAAACACATCTGAAAGCCACTTGATGTTGTTTCGTGTTTGTCTTGTGTCATAAACTAAAAATCCCACAAGAGGGCATACGTCCTATTCAAACCTCTCAAATGGCTAAGCGAGACATGACAGTCGACCCAAAATGGGAGTCTTGTTTATGGGTGCCCTTTCAGGGCTGATAATAGAAGCCAGGAATCGAATCCAGGTATGTGAAACCCTTGTTGACTTATAATCTGTAGCGGAACCGGCACGTTTTGGAGAAGACCCCCAATAAAGCGGAAGAAGATGAATCACACGAAGACTGAACTGATCAACACCCTCGTGGTCAACCAAACAATAAAATAGTTCAAAATGACATATTAGTACCAAAGAAGACTGCCGAAAACCCAGAGAAATGTCAAACTACATGCTTCACTTTGCACTCTTGTTGCATGTATGTTCACTACCGCAGGCCTTGAGCTTACTACTCCGCATGAGTCAAAAGGTTGGCAGCTGCAGACTACATTGGTTGACTGTTTGTTTGAACACTACAGCACTTGCACTTGTAAGCAAAGTAACAACCGATTTTAACGTGGTAGCGGAGCTGAGATCCTAAACATAGGGGAGCTCCAGTAAGCAGTAAGTACTACAACCACAGCAACAGCAGCTACATGCCAAACTACTACGACATGTCAGGAGAAGCAGCATCAGCCTCAGCACAACAAACTACAGGAGCAGAGAACGGGCCAACAGCAGACACAGTAGGAGCCACGACTACGGGAGCAGGAACAGAACAAGACAACGACGTTCAGAGACTACATAGATACAAACTGCCACCACCCTTCTTCACTGGTGACTACTCCCAGTATGAAGAATGGCTGTTCAAGCTACAAGCATACCTCGGCCTCATAGACCGAGACTTCGACCTGGTGCTACAACTAGCACAAGTGGCTACACGACAGATTGAGGACACAGACATCAGAACACACATACTCGACCCTACACAAGCAAGCAAAGCAGTAGACCTCGCCAGAGATCTACACTACATCCTCATCAACATCTGTCAGGGAGCAGCAGCTACAGTAGTAAGGCAAAACCGCTACAACGCAAACGGATGTGAAACACTACGACTACTACACAACAGGTTCAGCCTACCAGTAGGAACAAGGAGCGTTGGTTACCTTACCAAACTACTGGAACCCACATTCAACGAAGCGCAGTTTGAAGAACAATTTCTACAATGGGAATACGACATCAACCGCTACGAGAAAGACAATGGAACAGCACTACCAGATGGAATCAAAATAGCAATACTACTCAACAAAACCAAAGGAGCACTGCAGCAACACCTCCAACTGCGAGCTGGACAGATCACGAACTACATCGAGATCAGAGCACTCATCCTGGACTACTACAAAACGATTTCAGCCTTCACTAGATCTACTTCAGCAGTAGGAACAAACTACAATGGAGGAACTGCACCAATGGATGTTGACAACATATGGAGGAAAGGAAGAAGCTACAAAGGCAAAGGAAAAGGAAAAGGCGGCTACAAAGGAAGCAAGAGCAAAGGCAAGTACAGGAGTAAAGGACACTACAAAGGATTCGACAAAGGCAGCAAAGGAAACTACAACAAAGGAGGATACAACAAGAGCAAAGGAAAAGGCTACTCAGGATCCAAAGGATATGGATCAAGCAAAGGCTACAAAGGCCAAGGAAACTACAGCAAATCGAAAGGAAAAGGAAACAACAACTACACAACATGCCATCGATGTGGCAAGCCCGGCCACTGGGCACAAGACTGCAGAGTGCCGGTATGGCACATAGGAGAAGGAGAAGAACTACATCCACTAGAACCAGAACAAGCAGATCACGACAACAATGATGAACTACCTCAGGATGTGAACGACACTTGGGACTGGTACTACGAAGGAGAAGAAGGACAACATGAGGTGAACTACATGGAGGAGAACTGGAACGACTACGACTATGACAACAGCTGGGATTGGAATGACAACAGCTATGAGGACACAGCAAACTACATTGGAGGCATCAACGAGTCACACCTCACCACTGGACACATCAGACAAGCAAAATCACGACTACACAAGCACAAATCCAAATCACTACTTGGCAAGAGAACAACACACACAACATCATGGAACGACCACAGCAAGAGCTTTCAACAATTCCTACAAGAAGACTACACTTCGACATAGCAGCAGCAAGACAACAACAAAGGAACAAGAAGATTGAGGACACTATCACCCACTACATCATGTACTCCAACTTCAAGTCATACCACCACCTGTTGATCGACTCAGGAGCATCTACACATGTTTGCCCAAAGGGCTACGCACCGGATCTTCCACTACGACCCTGTGGAGAATCAGTTCCACAACTCTACACGGTGACCAACAAGAAGATTCCAGTCTACGGCATCAAGTACGTTCCCTACAAGCAGGACAACTTCAGGATCATGATACCCTACTACGTTTGTGATGTGAAGTATCCAATCCTCAGCGCATCAAGACTACTTGATAGAGGATATGGACTTGACTTCACTCCACGACACTGCACCATCACACATGGACAACAACAAGCACACCTCATAAGACACTCAGGACTTTTCTACCTGCGAGCAGAGAAGATCGACATTCCTACAGGATTCGACATCTACCCAATGACTACAGACAATGGAAAACCCATTGCTGTGATTCAACCTACAGAGGGAGCAGCACAACAACAAGAACTAATCGCACCACTCACACACACAGACCAAGGACTACGACAGATCCTTGGTGGAAACACTGACTACTGGAAACTTGATGGTGACTACGCCGTCAGAGTACACAAACGACCACGCAAAGCACTGTTCACACCACACAACAGTGGCTGCCCAATACCAGAAGGAGAACTAGATGATTGGCGACTAACCATCATCAACAGACAAGGGCAAGAGCAAGAACAACTACAAGAGAACCCAACACAACTTTCCAAGCAAGAACTACAACAAAGACTAGAAGGTGACAACTGGACTGGAGAAACCAGACTAGGAA